TAAATGACTAATGCAGGACAGCAGGCAACTTTCAGATGAATTTGGGTGATGGTTAAATATCCAGGTGGATATGTTTTTGGATGCTTACTAACTTTTAGGTAGTCCTTGATGTAACCATTCTGAAAGCATTAATAACTTTCTCTAAAGCAGCATTCAAACCCAAGCTTTGGATGCAGCTGCTGCTCACATCTGCTCACTCCTGAGGTGCTGGGCCTGCCTTTGTGCTGCTGTGTATTGTGTGGGTGTCTTAGATATTGTCAGTGGGCAGAAAATACTCCCCTGCTGCTCCTGGACATGCTGAAGCCTTTCCAGCAGCAGGTATTGCAAACAATACACCTCAGTTTAAAAGTGCTCCCAGAGAAAAACCTTCGCGTGACGTTTCTGTGGCTGCAGTTGAATATATTCAGTTTATCCTGGATTCTTACAAGACATAAATCCGTGTGTGTACTGCTCCACATTATTCCAGTTCACCCTCAGAGTGCTGTGTGGCTCATGCAGAAGCCTGTGCTGTAATTGTGTTTGGTAGGAACCTGTGTGAATTCTTCAGGTGCTTGTCATGAGACAGTGTCCGTGTGTGTCAGCAGGCACCGCCTTGCACGAGGCCTCAGGGTGCTGTAGGGTAAGGAAGAGACAGTTTTCTTCCTCATTGCATTGCTTGTGCTTTGTTTGCCATGCCATGACCACACCTGGATAAAAGCTGGCAGTTCTTAGAGCAGCTGGGCTGAAGCCCAAGCTGTGGTGGTCAAACGCTGCAGCCCAGGAGCCTCTGCTGAAGCTCCAGGCTGTGACATGGGGCTGTTGACCCTGAGGCAGCTGTGGAGGTGCAGGGTAGGGCTGCTCTGTGCTCAAGGCACTCTGCAGCTTTGACAGATTTTTAATACTCTTTAGTAGGTAGTTAGGATTCCATCCTGGTTATTTTCTCTAATTGAAATTCCCCTGTAGTAGTGACTCAGGCTTCAGCCAGACTCACATTCTGTAGCTGCCTGGCTGGGATGGCAGCAGGAGAACTTTGGGTTTTTTTAAATCTCTCAGTTGTCTCACCCACTCTGGTGACATTATGCTGTGCTGGAGAGAAGGACACTGAGGAGGTGCTGAGACAGCTTGGGCTGCCTTGTGTTTCCTGCTTCAGCTGAGCCTGTTCCCTGCCTGCTGCTCCAACAGACACTGGCTGGGAACTCTGACATTCCAGAGAGGGGAAGACACTGATTTCCCACTGTTAAACTTTCTGTTGCTGTTTAACTTGCATGGTGCTTCCTTTTATTTTTTTTTTTAAAGTCATGGCATGATCAGGGATCAGGCTCCTCTTGGCTAAAGGGATTAAGTGTGGGGGAAGGCTGGGTGTTGATAGGGATTGTGGAAGGTGGTGTATTTCTTTTTACTCTTGCTTTACTATTGCAGTCTTACCCATTGAAGACTACTGGCAGTTACTCTAAAAACTATTCATACATGCAAATGCTGAAGGAAAAAAAAAAAGGCAAGCAGGAATCCTCTTGAATGCTAAGAAATAGTTATTTGAGAGTTTGAGAGGATTATAATTTCCAGTGGCCTCTTTTGAACAGCCAGTCTGGCAATTACTTTATTTATAAAGCTATAAACATATTTTGAACATAAAAGCCAAAAAATACAAACTCAGTGAAGTAAAAAAATTACAACAAATGATGGATAGTCATTGGACAAATGAAAGTACAGCTGCAAAACATTTATCCATCCCTGCTACATACATACAGTGGTTTTACTTGGTTTAATGAAGTGGTACTTCCATGACTTCTACATTCAAACTGATTTCAGGAATTCAAATGCGTATTTCAGGAAGATTTAAAATTGCTGTAAAATAACTAAAAAATTCTTGTTGAGATAAAAATGTAAGGGCAAAGTTTTCCTTCTGTTAAAAAAGAATATTAACACAAAATAGCAACACTTCATATAGCAGTTCTAAAGACACTTTTTTTGGTATTAATAAGAGTAACTTTGTTTTGGCATCAGTTATCAGCTGTGGGGCATGGAACAGAAGTCAGTTGTGCTGTTTTGTCTGGGAAGGGGGCAGCTTAAAAGATATCTCTTCTGTGTTTTGGGATAAAAATAAGTCAATTTTCTGTTACCCCAGTATGAACTGATTACAGCCTATCACAAGGGGGTGTTGTGAGTTCATCCTGTGGGTCAGTCTGGCTATAACCTGTATGTACAGAGCAGAGCACGGGCAGGACGAGGCCGTGGCTGAGATGGGTGTAAGTGCTCCGGCTCTGGAAATGCTTCTGTGCCACGAGGGCACGAGGAGGGGCTCCTGCAGAGGGGAGTGGTACTTCCACTGAGGAGATGTTGCAGCAGTGGGGTGGAGTAACCATGAGAGGAGGCTGTAATGCAGACGGGCCTCTTGCTGGTCGGGGCAGGGACCACAACACCGAGGAGGGGCCAGAGGAGCCTTGAAATAATGGGAGAAAGTCCCAGAGTGTGAAATGAGTGAGGGCTGCTCTGGGTGCTCGCGCTGCCTCCTCCTGGGCCAGGTTAATACTGATCAGGGCCTTCCCCTCAGCTCCCTCTGCTCTTCCTCACACCCATCTCCTTTTTCCTTTACACCTGCCTTTCTTTGCTTTGCTGCTAAGTTCCATCTTCCATCCCACCACCAGGTACCAGTGGGGTGTTGAGTTACACCAGCTTTACACCCGGTGTGGGGGTACACCAGGCCACGCTGGCTGGTCTGTCTGTGGTGTTCCCTTGTACAGCACCTTACAGCAGAGGGGCTCACAGCAGCAGATGCTGAGCTGAGACATGGCCATTTTAAAAAAAAACAAACATTTTCTTTGTCTTGTTTCTCTTTTAAATCAACTTATTGGAGAGACCACGTCAGATCTGGCAAAAGTCTGCTGAGTTCCTCTGGTCAGCACTGGAACATGCTGTTGGCTAAGCTTGCTAAAATAATTTAAAATGAGCAGATTGCATATTTGATCTAGTGCTATGTAATTAACCCTGTGAGTGCAGTCAGTACAGGTGGCATTGGGTCAGGTAATGCTACTTCTCCGAGGGTTAAAATGGTTCAAACTTTAAAAGGACTCTTTGCAAACTCGTCAGGTTTGTGCACGTAGCTTTCAGTCAGTGCTTCTGAAGTTACATTTACACAGGAGAGGAATAAAGCAATAGGTTTAGATCTTCTAAACTAAAACCAGAAAAAAAAATTCTACACTGCTGTAAGCAAAACTACCTAAATAAAGGGAATAAACCCAAAGCTGCTCTACAGACTAATCAGGTTTGGCTTTTTTTTTTTTTTTTTAAATTTTAAATCTTTGAGGCGTAAACTTGTTTAAAAAGTTATGTTTAGTCCAATGTAAAAAATTAGGGTTTGTGTTTTTGCGTTAAGAAAAAAAATATAAAAATATTTTGTACATTATAAAGGTCATCTTAAATTTCTCGCAGTTCTACAATAATATTACTACATAATTTGTATTCAGTACTCCAGAACCTATCTATCAAATAGGAAAAAAATAGACCCCCTCTTCCTTTGTGTGGTGTCATTTTTCTCTTCAGCAGTCTGGAATATATTTCTTTCAAGCAGGAAAAAAAATTGCACTGGACTAGATTGTGATCTCTGTGAGAAGCCTGTAAACCTGAAGTAAATCCAGAACTTGGAATTATTTGGGATTTACACCAGTTCGGGGAGATCATAATCCGTCCACAGTGGTTTTTGTTTATCAAACTCAAAATATAAATACAACACCAGGACCCGCAAACGTTTTCAAGCTGGAGAGAACACATCAACATTTGGCGTCGTCATGGGGGTGGAGGGAGAATCTTTCAGAAAAAGCTAGAATAAGGTTTTTTAAAAAGTTACACACTGAATCATGAAAAACAGGGTTCTGATCTCACCGAGGGGACGGACAGACGGACGGACGCCTGCAGCCAAGAGCAGGGCAGGGCTGCTCTCCCGGGGCTGGCAGAGCTGTGCTGGGGCAGAGCTCACCCCTCTCCCCAGCTTGGGCCAGTGGGATCCTCAGGGCCTTGCCCACAGCCCACCCTGCCAGGGCCACCCCCATGGAGGAGCACAGTCAGTCAGGGCCTACAGAACCAACACAGGGATTTCTGAGGCTTCGCCCAGCCTGTCTGGTGGGATTTCTGACCGTCCTCATCTGCAGAGGACAATCTCTGACAGCCAGGGAGACCCTGGCCCTGACAGGTGCCCCCAGTGACCATCAGCCCTTCCCGGGGTCAGTCCATGCTCCTTCACCTGGCTGGTGCTGCACGGCCGTGGAATGGGACACGTCTGTGTTGCCTGTAAACAATATCTCCCTGTTCTCAAACAAGAAGTGTAAAAAATTCCCCTGGCTGGTTGAAGTATTTCATTTCTCTATGAACCCGGTCAGATCAGAGCGCTGGCACCGCTACGGTTACTTCTCAGACACAAGGGCTTTTAAAAAACGCTCCTATTCCAGCTTTTCCAGCTCCGTGGTGGAATGGCTGGGAGAGATCCGTGAGTGACTACACTTTCAAGCAGCTCAGAGGGCAGGGGGTGGAAGCCAGGGTTAGATGGACAGCACCTACCACCTACAGCAGCAAGCTGGGGACTGGGCTCTGCTCTCCCGCCACGCTGCGAGATAATGCAGTAAAAAAAAAACCAAAACAAAACCCCAAACAAAACAAAACAAAAAAAGCAGCACAGTGCAGGGACAAAAGGCTTGTTTACTCATCAGCACTTTAAATTTTGGCAAGTACTTATTTTTGAATTTTTTTTTTTTTTTGAAATCGCTTTTCTACCTTTATCACCCGTCCCCTCCAAAAAAAACAACCAACCCCAACCGGAGGGAGTTTTTTTTCCATCATCCTCGGGGTCATCCCGTTGCGTGTTTCACGGTGAGCTTGGGGGGGTGTTCGGCCGGGCCCCTGGTCCTTGTCCGGCGGGGCCGGGCGGGCACTATGTGCCCGCGGGGTTGCGGCTGTGCGCGGGGGACGCGGCCGCGGAGCGCCGGGAGCCGGGTCTGGAGGGGCCGGAGGCGGGCGGGAGCTGCGCGGGCACCGGGCGGGGGTCGGGCTCGTCGCGGTGCGCGGGGTCGGCGGGGGCTGCGAGCTGCTCTGACGGGAAGGCGGAGGGGAGGCATCGGAGCGCGTCCGGAGGGGATGGAGGCGAGTCTATAGCACTTCCATCGGAAGAAACTGGGCTGGCACAGCGTCCTTCTCCTTGTAGGTACCGAATGCACTTCTTTTTCCTCCTGGAACAGCGAGGGAGAGAGGGATCGGTGAGTGATGGGGGGGTCATCGGCAGCTCCGGTGCTGCAGCGCTGCGGGGACACCGCCAGGAGGCGCCGGGAAAGGATCCAAGGGAAAGGGTCCGAGGGAAAGGGTCCGAGGGAAAGGGTTCGTAGGGAGAGGGTTCGAAGGGAAAGGGCTCCAAAGGAAAGGGCTCCAAGGGAAAGGGTTCATAGGGAAAGGGCTCCAAAGGAAAGGGCTCCAAGGGAAAGGGTTCATAGGGAAAAGGTTCGAAGGGAGAGGGTTCCAAGGGAAAGGGGTTCAAAGGGAAAAGCATTCAAAGGGAAAGGGTTCAAAGGAAAAGGGTTCCAAGGGAAAAGGGTTTGAAGGGAAGGGGTTCCAAGGAAAGGGTTTCAAGGGAACAGGGTTTGAAGGGAAAAGGGTTTGAAGGGAAAGGGTTCCAAGGGAAAAGGGTTTGAAGGGAAGGGGTTCCAAGGGAACAGGGTTTGAAAGGAAAGGGGTTCGAAGGAAATAGGGTTTGAAGGGAAAAGGGTTTGAAGGGAAAGGGTTCCAAGGGAAAGGGGTTTGCCAGTAACGTGGGGAGAGGAGGAGGAGGAGGTCATGAAACCAAAATCAAAAACAAGTAATAAAAATGAAAATAGAAAAAAAAAAGAGAAATAAGAACCCCCAAAATAATAATAAAAATAAAACCCATAAAACAAAAATAATAATAAAAAGCAGAGCAATATAAAATAATAAAAAAAATCCAAGTCACACATCATTCTTGCTGTAGCTGGTTTGGGACACGATTCCTCCACATCCCTGGACAGTTCTGTTCAGTGTTTACCCTGAGCTCCAGGAGTCACCTCATGCACCTGATTGTTTTAACTACCCCTGGCTGTCCAGAGTCAGTCCCTCACACTGTTTTACAGTGTCTTTACACACTCTGTTGAGCTGGTTTTCCTTCTCTCCACGTGACAGATCCCTCATGTCACTTGCTGTGGGTCCTTGAGCACCTCTGCAGAGATCCTCAAACAAAAGAGCCCTCAAGATGTCACCTTAACAGTGGCGAGGGGACAATCCCTCTGCTGGAGATAGCATTAATGACTTCACAGCTAAAACAGGGAGAAGAACATCTTCCTCTCACCCAGCTCCCTGCCTTGGCTGCCTCATGTGAGGAAAACAGATCAAATGAGAACTCGCTAATGCGGGCACACACCTTTCTTTGATCTCCCTAATGAAAAACCAGACAGTGTGAGAATGTGTATTAACTGGTCCAGTATTAAACACGACTTGCACTGGATGTGAACAGGAGCAGTGCTGTTCCTGCTGTCAGTGCCATCGTTAGCCGTGGTGACCCAATTAATGCGATAGGAAACACGACAGCCCGGCTTTAACTCGTGGGGTATTTTCCACGGGTGGTAATTCCCCGGAGCAGACGAGCCTGAGGAGGAGCTGTGTGTCCCACAGACACCTCGGGAGTAGCTGCAGGATGGAGTTTCAACCACCTGTTTTAAGATGACACAAATCTGTCCATCGATTCATTGATCTGATTTGCAGCAATGGGGAGAAAAGAGCAGGTGTGATACTACAGACTGCTGATAACGGGGGTTATGCTGAGAGGGGTGTTACACAGCTAAAGGGGTTTATCTCCCTCCTTTTAGGAGCTTATCCCTCTCCCTGTAGGAACTACAGCACTCTGGAGTGTTTGCCCAGGGTGTGAGGGAGAGGGTGAAAGCTCTAAAGCAGCAACACCCAGTCTTAACCAGGTAACCTCTCCTGTGGATGGAAATCCTCCCGGGGAAGTTGTTCTCTGCAGGTGAGCAGAGCAGGCAGGACAGGAGCCCTGGAGCGTTAGTGCAGGAATGGCAGAGCAGCTCTGGCTGACCAGGGTTTGGTTACACAGGGGACACAGGGAGAGCATGCCAAGGTCTCTGAGCACTCCAGCAGCCTGTGTTAATTGGGAAGCCGTGCAGAGGAGAAGCTGAATTCAGAGTTGGAGTGGAGGCAGAGCAAAGGTGGAGGAACTGCCCACAGGGGCACAGGGTGCTCAGCCTGGCTGCAGGAGGGATGGGGGCCTCCAACAGCCCCCTCTGGACATTCAGGTATTGATGAGACACTAAGGGAGCTCTGTCCAGATTCTTAATCAGTAAAAAAAAAGGTGCGTGATGACACCATCTGGAGTGTAAAAGGTGAGCAGGGAGCTCTGCTGCTGTGGCACCCTGAGGTGCAGGAGGGGAGCTCACCTGGGGCTCAGCCACAGGGACCAGAGCTCGGGCTGCAGCAAAGTCTGGGCCAGATTTGGGTGCACTGAACGATTTTAGTCACTTCAAGCTGCAGTAAGCACATCAAGCAATACTTTACTTCCAGCTTTGCCTACAGCTCTCAATGCATTGGTATAAAAATGTGCTGGGAATCACAGACCTCTGTCCAGGCTGGAGCCTCCCTGTGCTCCAGTGCCCAGGTCCAGAAGCCCCCATGGAGCTTTTTCAGCCTGGCTGCCTTTGCAGCCCCCCTGAGCCAGGCAGCACTTGGTGGATGCACTGAACTTTCCTATCTCCTGGCCATGTCCATTCCCTGGAAGCCTGAGGGGCAGGGCACTGCACTGCTTTGCTGCTCGAGGCTGTCCCACCCCACCCATGGTGGGTGCTGTGAAATTTAAGGGTCAGGAAGAGCTTGATCCTGAAATACATGGTTAGCCCAGTATAAATGGGAAAAAGAGACCCATTAACTCCTCACTGCTGGCCCTAGGGTGCTGTTTATGGGATTGGAAATCACTAACGGGGGGAAAAAAAGCCCCACATCAGGGTCACAGAGGTCTCCACCCTGGAAATAAGCTTTTAAGACCAGGGAATTCCATCAGCTGAGGAATATGCACAGCATTACACCAACACTGCCCCGGGGGGGGTGAGAAACCCAGCGTGCAGCCTGACCCCTGCAGCTCAGGCAGCAGCTCCGGAGGATGCCCAGGGAACGCCCAGGGAACACCCAGGGAACATCCAGGGAACTCCCATCCCCGCCGGCACCGGGAGGACCCTGGAGCTGCCCCCACTGCCCCAGGAGCACCCCAGCAGCGAGGAGATGCCGATACACACCTGCACGGGCCGCACCAGTCCGTTTGTTGGTTGAGGCCAAAGCGAGCTCTGCATTTCTTAGGAGAGGCAGGATCTGAACACAGAAGCATGCGCGGCGAGAATGGGCAAGGCAGAGGCACAAAGAGGAGGAGGAGCAGGAGGAAGAAAAGAGGCAACATCATTTTAGCCACTTGGAACACACGACTAACAGACTACAATCCCATTTTTTTTTCTTTTTTTCCTGCTGGCACCACCTCTCCTGGAAAAAAGTGATCGTTAGGCAAGTATTGGTGATCACTGCTGGCAGCTGGAGGAGGAGGTTTGGGAAACAGCCCTGGGAAAGGTGGGCAACTACGGGAAAATTCACAGCTCTTCGAATTTCTTAAGTTTGGAGATGCTGCCAAATCCCAGAGGCACTACCTGGCTCCTGTGTCTGCATCCTTACCTGCTCCCTGCCTTCCCAGCAGCGACTACCAGGGCTGCCAGCGAGCTCGGACTGCGCACGGAAGAAAGAGGAGGAAACGTTGCAGAAGCAGCTGAAAGCAGAGTTAGCACCGAGGAGACCTAGGCCAGGTTATTCCACTCTGCCCTCCCGTCATTCCCCTTCCAGTTTCAATGGAAAAACTGTTCTCCATGGCCCTTCTAAAATGTTGCAGTTTTACTGTTTAATTATGGGACTCATTAGGACGAAGCCCTATTTGCTTTCAGGCACATCCTGTTTTTCTCTGGTGCTGTAAATGGGATTTGAACAGCACATTTCTGTGCTGGATTCAGCCTCCCTCTCTCAGGCTGTTGTGTGTGACCAGCAGTTGGTTTCAATCCATTATCACTTTTGTATCACACAAACAGGACATATACAGGGATATATAAATATATATACACACTACACATAAGCCTGAAAACTTGTACTCCCTTTTATCAGTCTAGACACTGGGTAAGATCAGTAGTGTTAATTAAAGGGAAGATATAACTGCAGCACAGTCCTGGAATTGCTTTTTATGGACAATTGGAAGACATCATCCAGTGGTGATTCATTAAATTAATAAATTTGCTTAGAAAGCCAATAGCTTATCATATGGATGGCACAGTTTCATCCAGAAGTAAGAGCAATGAGCAGTAATGAACTGGTGAGCTGGAGAGTGGGAAAAGCTCTTTGTGACTCTATAGGCAATCCCAGAATGGAGATACTGGGAAAAACAGTCTAACTTCATGTATACATGATGCCACAGTGGGCAAGGATACTCTCTTGATGGTTTATAATGAATATTTATTGGTAGAGGTATTATTTGTTCCTGATATGGCAGAAATACTTCAGAAATCAGCACAGGAATAGCCTTGGATGATGGGGATATGTCTGAAATCTGCCAAAAGGGCCTTTTTTTATCAGCACTGGGGTGCAGGGAAGCAGCTGGTACTGGGTTTTAGTATGACTTTGCTTCAACCTTGGTTACTTTGAAAAGAAAACCAAACTCGGGGTAGCCCCATGGGTGATCTTCAATCCTGTCACTGCATTTCATCCCACCCACAGTCCTGATGCATTTGAGAGCTTTCTTTAATTGATGACACCTGTAGGTCTGATGGGGACATGCACCCTGGATGTTTTCAATTGATTTAGTGATAGCTTATATGAAGTTACACACTCGCCAAAATCTAATCTTTCCAGTTTTCACACACTCCCCATGTTCTAATTCAAACACGTCCATGAAAAAGTCACAGAAATGTTAATTTGCCGTGTCTTAAAAAAAACAACAAATGTGTTTTTCTTTAGTTAAGCTCAGGAGAATAAAGGAAAACATGGTAAAACACAACAACTGCCTTGGTTTATCCCCTCTGAGCGGGAGCGCAGGGACAGGCACCGCACACACGCGTTTACCTGAGCTGGAATCTTGCTGCTTTTCCCGTGTTCGTCTCTTCTTTTTCCCCTAGGAAATCAAAGGAAAGGCTGTTATCCGTGCTCCAGGAGAACGAGGGTGCTGTGCAGGGTGCTTGGGGCTGGATTGGTGCTGCTGGCTCAGCCCATTCCAGGGAGAGATGAACTGGGAATGGCTGCAAAGGGACTGCTCTAGTTTATCTATCAACAGCTGATGCTCCTGCCACATTCTTATTCCTTTTCCCTCTTTATGTTTCTAAAAAGCCCCTGGCCCATTTTAGCACCTTCCCTGTTTCCAAAATGTGCTTTACAGTGGTGCCTTATACCCAAACAGAAATTGCTTCTTAACATTCCCTGATTTCAAACGGGAAAGAACGTTTAAGGAAATCCCCAGAAATTCATTTTCAAATCACACTGACCTATTTCAGTGCTTTTGCAGCTCTGGACCCATCTCTCGCTCTTCTTTCACTAACAAGAAAGCCCTATTTTATCCCCAAACTGCCTCTCTTGATTCACAAGACGCAGCAACTCCCCTCCTGCCCTAATGAGCTGATTAATGAGGGCACAGCAGCGCAGGAGCAAATCTGGCTGTGAGGAGCAGCAGCTCCCAGGGCTGCCTTTGACCTGTGACTTTTTATATGACTTCTTGTGGTTTGAGTGAAGGTGGAAAGCTCTGAGCTGTGGTGAGCTTTTTCTTCAGTGGGGGAGCAACTGTATTTCCTGCCCGATATCTGCACCACGTGCTGCAGAAGTGACCTACATTCCTCCTCCTCCTTCTCCTCCTCCTCCTCCTCCCTGCTCAAGCTCCGCAGAGAAAAGCGTCTCTTCAACAACCACAACACCCAAACCAGCTGGTCTGCAGTGCTGGGAGGACCAAAATCCATCTTGTGGAGCAAGGAACCAGCCCGTGATTCCCCAAGGAACCAGATGAATGATGATACAGGTTGAGGTTTCCATGGAGGGTGTGCTTGGTCTTGGTGCTGTGCCCTCCAGGTGTCAATGTCCTCCAGGTGTGTGCCCATCAAAATGTGGGCTGGGGGTTTCCCCTCACCTCTGCTTTTTCTGCATCATCTCTGCCCTCTGTGTTTTAGGGGGTTTTGGGGTGGTTTTCCTGCCCTTGGTGGAGTTTGGGCTTTCTGGAAGGAGGGCTGTGGTCAGTGTGGGACAGATGGGAGCTCACTGGGCAGCTCCCAGGGGAAAGAAAGTGTCTGTGAGGGAAATGATGGAGCCTTAGATCAAAGGGACAGAGTCCTTGAGTGGATGGACAGACCTCTGAAGACTTATGTGTGCTTTGCTTCAGGTCTCTAACGAGCTCATTAGGCACAACAGCCAAGAAAGTCACAAGGAAAAACCCTTCTCAAAAAGATCCACTATTTTAAACCACAGAATACTAAAATGGTTTGAGTAGGAGGGGACCTTAAATATATCCTGTTTCAAACCCCTGCCATAGGCAGGGACACCTTCCACTAGCCCAGGTTGCTCCAAGCCCTGTCCAACCTGCCCTTGAACACTTTCAGGGATGAGGCAGCCACAGCTTCTCTGGGCAACCTCCCTCCCTTACCACCCTCACAGATATCTCAGCTGCTGCCCAAGATGTTTTATGTTTCCATAAAACTGTATTTCCAAGGACCATCCCCATCACTTCAAAGCTCCTCTTCCTTACTCCCTGTATTTGCTTGGACAACAAGCAAACAGACACCTGTGGTAGCTGGGGCCGTACCATTCATCCCATAGACAGGCACTAAACCAGGAGGGTGCTCGAAATACTCCTGAAATGTGAATTCCCACAGCGCTGGTGCCACCAGGAATGGTGCCAGGTGGGCTCTTTGTCAAACACCAGCTGTCACCCCCGGGGTTTTTCGGGCCACGCCAAGGGAAGGGGGCCCGAGCAGGGCGGGCACTCACGTAGTTGTCTCTGGCAGACCAGCCAGGGTAGAGCTGCATGTGGAGCTGCCGTTCCTTGCGGGCCAGTTCGTAGTACTTGGCCTGTTCCTCCCGGGACAGCGCGTGCCACTGCAGGGACACACACACAGAGCAGTGAGACACGGCCCCGCTGCCCCCTCCCAGCCCAGCCCACCCCACCAGGGCCATCCCGCCCCGGGGCACGTCCCACCCTGCGTGTTTAAGGGATAAGAGCACCCAGCCTTGAAGCAGATGCTTGTTATGTGCTGAAGAGCAGCTGCAAGGGACGGGGATGTAGCACTGGGGGGTGGTGCTGGGCCCCACGAGCTCTCACCCTCCTCCCCAAGATCTGGTTGATGGCAGCGCTCTCCTTCAGGGTGCACTCGGCGATGACTTTCGCCCGCATTTCTTTCATATACAACATGAAAGCGTTCAGGGGCTTCTTGATAGTGGGCTTCTTGGCTTCCTTCTCTCTCTTTGGTTCTGGTTGAGGTTTCCTTGGTGGGACCAAAGGAGGAGCTGTCAGCATCAGAGCCACCCCCAGGCCTGGCTCAGCAGAAAACTCCCCCACAAACCAACCCCACAGCACGAGCGGGCGGGGGGCCTGAGAGGTGCACATAGAGCTCGGTGTTCACCCATCCTGCCCCCAAAGGGGCATTAAGAGTGACAAATGAAATGGGTGCTGAGGTGCCGTTTCACGAGCCCTGCCTGCGCTCCCAACTCACATGTTTCGGTCATAGTGCTCCATGTCCTGCTTGCCGGAGTGGGGCACGATGGCGGGGTGCGGGATGCCGGTGGTGTGCATGCCAGAGCCCAGCATCAGCGGGTGAGTGAACCTGCAACAGAGAGCGGGTGAGCTGTGCCAGGGCTGTGCCGGGCCAGGGCTGTGCCGTGCCAGGGCTGTCTCACGGGACGGCACTCGGACGTGGCGGAAGCGGACGGAAAGCAGAGGACACGGAAAGCACGTGGGTGCTGCCAGGCTGGCGGGGGAGTGGGCAGTGCCCACCAGCCCGGGTCACCCCCGCGGGCACGTGGCTGGAAAGGATCCGGTGCCACGGCGAGGGAAGCGCCCGCAGCGGGAACCGGCCTGGCCGAGGTCCAGGGCACTTCCAACCAGCAGCTTCAGCTACTCAGGTCTCTGTTGCTGCAATATCTTATCAGCACTGCACAAAGAGACAACAAGCTCAACCAGGGCTTTGGATGGGAGAGATGAGGACCACCCCGCGCCTTCCTTTTAACACAAACAGCCTAAGTCTGAACACGAACCCAGCTGCAACTCTAGGAGGTGCACCTTGCCTGAGCAATGCTCTCCACAACACAGGCTGAGATCATGAGAGGTCTCGCTCGCTCTCAGGCTTCATTAGCTCTCTCCGGAGTTTTGGAGGGTAAAGCCAGCACAGTCAGCTTTGCCAAGCTTGCCACTTCATGACTGCAGCTTGAGATGGCAGAATTGCCCATGGGAGATGAACTGTTCATTAGATATGCTGGCACGAAAAGAAAAGCTGTTTAATTTAATCCACCAGCACAGTCTGATCCTTATCTGACCAGGTGTACTTTCTCGGCTGCAGCACTGCTGCAAAATCCACCCCAAAATCCTGCAAGCAGGAGCTCGAGGAGGCTGCTGGGGCTCCGGGGGGAACCGTTAGCTCCTCTTGCCTTCGAGGCTGTGCAAGGCTGATGCCTCGTGAGCAAGGAGGGCTGGCAGCACTCCCTCCCCTCTTCTGCAGGACTAGGGGCTCCATGGATGGGGGATGAATGGCATGGATCGAGGGTTGCATGGATCCAGGTTCCTGCATGGCTAAGGGCTCTCATGAGTAAGGGTTTGCCTGGTTTTCCTGTGGGAAATCTCCGCTAAAAGCTCTTCAGGACAACATGAAGCAGAAGCAAAAGCTGGTGCATGAGCCCAGACACCCCTGTGGAGCCACGGGGGCTTTGCCCAGCAGCACACCTGGAAGGGCTGGGCTCTGTCATGCCCATCCACAGGGGATGTGCTGTGCTCAGCTGAAGGCAGAAGCTGTGCTTTTGTCTCACAGAACTGACTTGTGCCCGACGGGAGGGCAGCAAATCACTGCCCATGGCCTGTCCTGCTGTTAAAGCTGAGACCAGGAAAACAGGCGGGTCTCTGCAGAGCAAAGCTCAGTGGTGGTGGCAGCAGGGAAACATCCAGGATTAGGGCTGGTGACACGGAGCAAAATCCCGAGCAATGGATTCCAGCCCTTTTTCCCAATGCTGAGCTGAGGGCTGGGGTTTCTGGCTCTGTTTAGACTTCTGCTGTGTTAAAACCCAACTGCTCTGCATCCTTCATCCTCGATATCCCCCCGAGCACCCTCTGGACCAGACACTGCCTCAAAGCGCCTTCTCTCCCCACGGCTGCCCCGGGGCGGGTGCGTGGCTGTCCCTGGGGGCCGTGGTCTGCTGCAAGCTCCTGCTGCACACACTGCAAGCTGCGAGGGCAGCCGAGCTGCTGCCCTGTGTCACACAGCTCATACTCACCTGGAGAAAGAAGCCCCAGCAGAAAGCGCTGACGAGTACGGCTGTCTAAATCCACATGACGGGAGCGGATAGACAGACTGGCTCTGCCTGGGATCAGGAAGAAAGAGGCTATAAAGTATCCACAGCTACGTGGGGTTTCCTAAAGATATCCTTTGCTAAGGGGACTCGGAGCACCGATGCCCCTGGCTGGCAGGACACCCAGGCTGTCCTCTGGATTCAAGGGGCACTGCAGGACTTGGACGTTATTTTGAGAGAACCTGGGCCTTCCTACAAAGGTTGGATTCGATTCTGACCCCCCTCCAACCCTGGTGCTGAGCACCACTGCAGCTTTATCTGGTTAAAATGCAGAATGCAGAGGTGCGTGCTGAAAAATCAGCTGCTGTTGCACAGAAGAAGTTGCTAAAAAGAGCACAGCTCTAAAAAACTAAACAAAACACCAAAAAACTAAAGCCTGGTCAGAGTCTCTGTGCAGTGCACAAGAGGCTGCAACAGGAGGATGGATATGAGGAAGAACTTCTTTACTGTGTGGGTGACTGAGCACTGGAACAGATTGCCCAGAGAGGGTGTGGAGTCTCCCTCACTGGGGATATTCCAGGACCATCTGGATGCAATCCTTTGCCATGTGCTCTGGGATCGCCCTGCTTGAGCAGAGAGGTTGGATCAGATGACCCTCTGTGGTCCCTTCCAGCTTTACCCATTCTGTGATTCTGTGATCACGGAACTTCCCGGTGTCTGGAGAAAAAGTACCTACTCTGCCCTTGTATTCAGGAATACTCTGATTTCCCCAGCATATCATTTCAAGGATGCCCATCAGTTTTAAACAGCCAAAAGCTCATTCCTTTTCAAAGTGCTTTCATACTGGGGACTGGGCATGTACCAGACCTGGAGCTGGAAATTATTTTTGAGATAGTAAAATAACTATGCAGGAAGTTCCTTGTTGTTCCCAGCAAGGGAACCCCCACATTTTCATATGGAAATAGCTCAAAAATACCTTGGCTTGTTCTGCAAACCCACCAAAAGGTGCTTCCAGCCTAAAACTGCACACGGAAACTGAGATTATAGAATCACGGAGTGGTTTGGGTTGGAAGGGACCTCAAAGCCCATCTTGTTCCACCCCCTGCCAAGAGCAGGGACACCTTCCACTAGTCCAGGTTGCTCCAAGCCCTGTCCAACCTGGGGCACGATGGGGTGCTTACACCTGCACTGGTGCTCGTGCTCCTCTGGCCAGGCTGCACAGAGCTGTGCCTAAAACCAGCACCAGCTATTTTCAGCTCCAATAACCAAAAACCCCACCAAAAGCCCACCATCATCAAGCGTGGTGCCCCGAGAAGGACCGAGCTCCGGGGTGCCTGGGATTTTCCAGGGCCAAAGACAAGTTTGTGCCCTGCAGAGGAACAACGACAGTGGGGCAGCAGTCAGGCCCCCGAGCCACGCTGGGCAGGAAGGAGGTCCCTGTTTCTGTTGCTCAGGGAGCTGCTGTGCCTCGGCTTGACCGAAATCTGCAGGATCTGTGTGCAGGGAAGGCAGCCGGGGCTGTTTACACCCTGCCAGGCAGGAGCCCTCTCCCACCCCTTAGATGTCGGGCGGGTATAAACACACCAACAAACAGCCAAGTGCCGCCGCACCGGGAAACCCAAACAGCCTTTGAAGTTGGAGGCGGCTGCCCCAGGGCCGAGAAAACACTCGGAGCTAATCCAGAAGCGACCTGTGTTACTCCAGAGGCTGGGATACACCGGGATAGGAACGGAGTCGGGCACTCGCAGCTCCATCCCAAGTCCCTCTGACGTGCAAATGAGTGCAGCTGTGAAATCAGCCCCTGATGGTTGGGAATGCACGACTGCAGCCCGTGCCATGGAATTACAGACTGGTTTGGGTTGGAAGGGACCTTAAAGCTCATCCAGTTCCATCCCCTGCCATGGGCAGGGACACCTTCCACTATCCCAGGTTGCTCCAAGCCCCGTCCAACCTGGCCTTGGACACCTCCAAGGATGGCACATCCACAGCCTTTGTAGGCAACCTGTGCCAGAGCCTCACCACTCTCTGAGTAAAGAACCTTCTCCTAGTGTCTAATCTAACTGTCTCCTCTTCTAGTTTAAAACTGTTCCCCCTTGTCCTATCACTATCTGCCCATATAAAAAGTCCATCTCCTTTTTTATAAGCTCCCTTTGTGCATAGAAAGGGGCTGTGAGGTCTCCTCAGAGTCTTCTCTCCAGCTCTCTCAGTATCTCCACAGTATCACAGATGCTGGAAGGGCAGCTGGGACACAGCCATGGGATGGCACCAACACACTTGGCCCAGGGCACAGGAGAGTCACACCATGTGCAGGTTCCTGGCCAAGGTGAACTGCCAGGCTCCATGAGCAAAACTCACTTGACTGGACTCTCGGAGGCTTTTATCCGACTGTCATCCCAGCTAATTACAGAAACAGTGATTGCAGCTCCTCCTCCCCAAGCGCTCGGTGAGAACAAAACCCGTTTCTGCCCAGCTCCTGCCTGCCAGCTCGTGCAGGAAAAGTTGCTTCCTGTGTGTGGCCATCCTGGCTCAGCAGCTGACTTGGTGGCACTGGCACAGGCACAGAATCATGGAAGGATTGGGCTGGAAGGGACCTTAAAGATCATCCAGTTTCAATTCCCCTGCCATGGGCAGGGACACCTCCCACCAGCCCAGGTTGCTCCAAGCCCCGTCCAACCTGGCCTTGGACACTTCCAGGGATCCAGGGGCAGCCACAGCTTCTCTGGGATGCACCCTTGGCACGACCATCCCTGGCACACAGCCCCTGCTGCCATGGCACAGGGGGATGCTGCCACGATCTGATGGGATTTGGTGCTTCTGCACTCGTCCACACTGGTGTGCTGAGCCTCAGCTGAAAACTGGGCACTCCAGGAGTGGGTTTGGGGCTCTTTCCATAAACTTTGGGAAAGGAAAAGAACGAGCAAAAGCTCTATTAGGCACACGTGCCTCGAGGTGCTGCTCTCTGCACGTCAGGCCGTTTGTTGCTGTACCATATCTGCTCTATTACTCACTAATGAAGGCATCTGAGGATGCCAAACCCTGTGGATGCTGAAGAAGCTCTCAGCCATGCAAACTTCCTCCACCACCAACTGCCCCACAAAACCTCCACAAAAGCCAGACTGCTCTGCCTCCATTCGCCCAGGGCTGCCTGAACAACACCATCCCATCCCAGGAGTGGACCTTCCTTTTGACAAATAGGCTCGTTTCTCTCCATCTCCCAACTATTTCTTTCATGTTACAGCACAGTCACCCCAGTCCTTGTTTTCCCTGAGGATGAACCACATCATCTGAGGAGTTAAATCATCACCCAAGAGTAGCAGATTTAGCACAGAAGGTAAAATGTAATCTCTTTGAAGCCAAACTCTGTATCGAAGGCCTCAGCTTCTGTTTCCTTGTGGTAAAATATCTGGAACATGAAATTCATAAACAAAACGAAGCAAAAAGCTCCACTCTCCCATTCTGCAATTGGTCCTTGTACCTGGAGCTCTCTGTGGAGCTTTGCTGATAAAAATCCCTCAGCACTGGGGGGATCTGGCCAACCTGCCCCCATCATCACCCTCCCTGCACTCTTTCCCTGTCCTGACCACCCTGAATTGCCACCTGCAGCCACCACCCTTTCTGTCAGCCTCTGCCACGCCTCCGTGTCCTCAATGGGGATTAAAAATTAACCTGAGGAGTGACGAGTCCCCCCCGGCAGCCCCGGCCAGCCCCGCTCCCCTGCTGTGCTCACACAGCCAGGGGACACGGCCACAGAGCACACACTGGTGTATTTTTAACTTGTGTGCCCGGGGCAGGTTTCCCAACAGGCTCTGCTTTGCAGGATGCTCCTCAGGGCTGCCCCATGCAGGAGGGACATTTTGGGAGTGCTCCAGCTCATGGTCCCTCCTTCCCCATCCCCACTGGGACAGCAGTTCCCACCCAGCCAGCAGTGCTGTGGCCAGGCTGTGGGTACTGGGGTCGTTTGCTGGGCAGGTCTCTGCCATGGGGTACTTCTTCCCTGTGTGTCAGACCCTAAGAAACACCCTGGCCTGGCAGACGGATCATCCCACAGGATTACACTGTGCTGGTGGCAGGCTAAGGAAAAGCACTGTTTGTGCTGCAAACTCCAGCATGGGAAAAAATTACCTCCCACTCAAAAGAGAGACTTTTGCTGGGACTAGGAGGGATAGGCAGGAAGCTCTCCCTGGGTTCCCTAATCCACAGAGGCAGTTAGATGTCAGGCAGGAGACAGTTTTGACTCAGGCAGGTTGTAACACCTCTCCAGGGGTGCTGGGATGAAGCCCTCAGCCTCTCCATGGATCTGCTCCCCGTGTGTGACACGGGGCTAAACTCTCCTGCCTGTTCCCCCAGCACACAGGAGGGATGAAGCCGTGGAGGTCAGGGAGGGCACTGTGGGTGCTCAGTGACCCCTCCGTGCGCAGCGTCCGGCGCGTGGGGCTGTGTGGGCAGAGCCCTCCTCACTCACCATCCCATCGACGGCGTGATCTGTCCCACTCCTCCGGGGGGCAGGGGGTAGAAACCAGGGATGTCTGACGTCTGGGAAGGACGGTGCACTCCTGGAAGAAGGGAGGAGGACATCAGCTGGACCCAGCACTGCATCCCCCAGCCGACAGGGACCACTCCCAGCCCAGTCCCCTGGCTGCTTCATCTGTGGACACTTGTCCAGCAGGCCATATATCTGTCTGCAGGTGGCAGGATATTGCAATTCCCCTTTATTTGCTGTGGTTCTCTCCGTGGGGATGTGGTGGGTCACCCACGTTGCTGCAGAATCACCAGCACTCGTGTAAGGTGGTGGGGAAGGCAGCTCGTTCTTGTGCAAGCATCATCCCTGCTCCATGCCACACTGAGGCCAAGCAGCAACTTGCTTTGCTAAGGATTTGGTTGACTCCAGGCATCCCTCTGCCCTTCCCAGAGAGCCTCATGAGGTGCTCAATGGATGGTCCAAGCTGTTCCTATGCCCCGCGGGACCCCCCGTGAGCAGGCTGTGGGGATGCTCCAGCAGGCACCACCTCTATCTCCATTTTAAACAATTTGAGTTCAAAACAACTGTTCCGCGGGCTCCGTGGGTGCCAAGGAACTGTGGAGGTGGGTATGGTGCCAGCTGGGAATTCACCCTTCGCACGGGGAATCCCTGTGGGATCTTCAAAGCCGCTGGCACGGGCGGCATGGCCAGGGGACACAGCCCAGCACGGCTCCCCTTCCACCTGGACTGGAAAACATCCTGCAGAGCCCGAGGCTGCGGGTGGGACTCAGACAACCAGGGAGCTGCTGGCAGGAACAGCCTCCAGCTGACCCCTGCACTGGGAGACTGGAGGGGCACTGGGCTGAGCTCTGCTGCACAGGGGTGTGACACTGGCTGCTACCCAGCCTCAGACAAAACTGGGGACAGGGATTGTCCACTGGCTGTCCTGGGTGATGAATACATGGAATAAACCAGTGATGAGTTGCAAGCAGTTGCAAACTCAGAAATCCGGATTATTTTTTTAGGTGTATTAATGATTAATTATTAATTAGGAGCAACACCAACAGATTCCAAGCATCTTATTAGGAGTTAGCTAAAATAAATATATAACTGACCTGAAAGGAATACATAACTTGGGATGAGATTTGCTTCAGGTGGGACTCAGCAGCCCACTGAGGGTCAAACAAAACCAGCACTCATGTCAGGCAGCTGCTGGAATATCCTGAGATTTGCCTCTCCAACAGTACAAGTTGCATAAGCCAGAGGACAAGTTATTCTTGCTGGCCCAGTGGTTGGGGCACCAACCACTGACTCAGAATTCCTGCTTGTATTTCCTTGTCTGTGTGTCCTTGGGCTACTGTGAATACTTTAAAGGCATGCTGGGAGAATGAGTGTGATGGTGGCTCTCAAGCTTACACTGGGTGATAATGGGAGCTATTTCAGTGATGGAAACAGAGACAGGACGCATCCAGAAGGAACAGGGAAGAAAACCCTCGCCCAGCAATACAGGGATGGGGCATGATCCCAGCTGCACCACGGAGGCAGGTCCCAGCTGAGGATGATGGTCTGAACCTCTGCATGAACAGGACCTGGGGGTCTCTGGGAGGGACAGACTCCCTGTGTCTGTAAATGCACAGGATACACGGGAAAGGGGAGACTGGACAGTGCCTGCACTGAGGGCACAGGGGAGTGGGCAGCCCAAGGACAGCTTCCCAGAATTACTGACCCACCACAGAACGTTCAGGGACTGCCCCAGTGCCAACTGCAGCCCCCACAGAGGGACACAACCAGCTCATCCCTTGGGTGAGCTGCTCCTGTGCTGCTTAAGGCTTCCCAGGCTGGCAGTGAGTCCCAGGAGGCAGCTCACAGAGAGGGGCAGGGCTCTGCCAGGCACTGCCAAGGCAGAGTGAAGGAAGGTGTGTCGGGTCCCCTTCCCTGCAGACTCAGAAATCTGCAGGTTTCCTCTCAAGACTCAAACTCTGCCGTTACCTGAGCTTCAACAGGTTTATTTTGGTAACTCTTCCAATTTTTCTGCTGAGTTTATTATGCTCTGGTGGCTGACAAGCAAAGTGCTGGGTGGAACCAGGATGTGCCTGGGTATCTGTTACACCAGGCCTAAACCCTACCCATTACCATCCCTGGTGAGTCCAGAACGTGGCCCCTGGGTTCAGACCAGGGATCACTCAGAGGGTCCTCCAGCCAAGAGCATCCTTGACAGCCCATTGTTTTATCAACAATGTTAACTTGGTGAAGCCAATGCCTCCAGGACAGTTTGGATCACTCCTGGGTGGAGGCCCTTGCCCAAATCACAACAGTTGGTTTTGTGCCTCTGTTTTGGCACTGATTTCTGGGCTCTGATGGGCCCTGAACTCCTTCCTGAATATAGCCTGACACAAAATTGTGAATTTGCTTGCTTTCCCACGAAATCAAGATCACGGCTGTGTAAAAGCCTGGATAATTTGAAGACAAGTTCTGCACTAATGTAAGGTTGAGAAAAGTTATGATTTTACACTCACTTTGCCAGTAACCCACGAAGAATGATGGAACGATAAACGGAGGTGAATTCCTCTGCACATACCTGTCTTTCACAGTTCAGGGTATATTTTACAGTTCAGGGTTTAACCTCTGCCTACTGTACTTTCCTCTGTAGCCTCAAGAGCCAGCTGACGTGGCCCGAGCTCACACAGGAACCCGAAGAGCCAAACCGTGTGACAACCACACAGCGTGCGGCTACGGGGACACACATGTCACAATCCAGTCAGCTATCAGACACCGATCCTGTTTAGTCAAAATATTTCCTGTTTCAAGCATTTATTTTCTCAAAACGACAACCTGACAACAGTTTGGGTATGAGTCAAAGGAAAGATTACTTTCCATTTTCTGGTTGACTCTCGCGCGTCGTCGCGCAGCCTCTGCTCCGGTCTCAAGGTACAGGACAGCTTGTTCAGAGAGCTGAGCTCACCCCATCAGCAGGGCTGGCACTCTGGATACCAAACTGCCCTTGCCCAGGATTACAAGGCACTACCAATAAGTGAAATAACCTCCTACTGCTAAGCAACGCCCCAGCTCTTGACTTTTCTCACTGGTTTGGGACCAGGAAGGTGACAGCCTTCACCTCAGTGGTCTCCAGCACCGTCCCCCTCCTGCCACCCAGGTCCCCAGCGCTGCCACTACCTTGTTTCTGGTTGATGTCAGCGGGCAGGTGGGGCGAGTGGGAGCCGTGGCTGAAATGGTCGTTGCTGTACGGGATGAGCGGGGTGAGCGGGTGGACTCCGTGGGACGGCTGCACTACGGGAACTTTGTTGGACTGCAAGACACAAGGAGGGAGAGCGCTCAGGAATCATCAGGATCCAGCAGCAAAAAAGGGCCAGTGCCCTTTGCAGTCCTGTGGTCGGAGGCGAGGCTGGGAATGACTGAAAACACTAAACAGATCACTAAACCAACATTACAGCACCCTGCTAGAAAAATCCATAAATGAAGCAGGGACAACAGCTGGATATGATTACATGGATAGGTGGAAAACAGATCAAATCAGCATGAAGTTTTCAAAATTCAGAACTTTTTTTTCATTCATTTCCAGTACCTTTTATTCCAGGATGAATGCTACAAACATGTTACCCAATGCAGTGCTCTTGTTCTCTGTCGTGTGCTACCACAGGGTCTAAATCTGGACTCTCACATCTTTCACATTCACTCTGAAAACCATGCTTGGGCTTTCCTAGCCAGGGCTCTCATGCAGGCACAGACACAGAATCATTTAGGTTGGAAAAGTCCTTATAAAGACCAAGTCCAACCATTAACCCAGCTCTGCCAAGGCCACCACTAAACACTGAGGGCAACACCTTTGAAAACATGACGTGGTCACCAGTGAGCCCTTGGGCTGAAATCCCCCTTGGACTGAGGTCCAGTGCTCAGGAAGAAGGACCAGGGGGAGCTGAGGCAGCACTGGGGATGCATCAAACCCAGGAAACTAAGCAAAGAAAAACCTGTCTCCTCTTGCAGCTGCCCCTGGTTAAACACGGTGCGGCCGTCAGAGCCCAACACCTTGTAAAAGGCTCTTTTTGGTGAACATGATGGGAAGTACTTCTGTGTGTTGGAGCAAAGAGAGGGGAACCTATTCCAAAGAGCTGCACAGCTGTAAGGAACACACACACACACACTCACTCTCTGCCATCCACACCAGCCTCCTCGCCCCGAGCGTCCCGCGCTGCTCCCTACATGCCTGGTTTCGCCCAGGGTTGCCTTTAAACCCAAACTGACAGGGCAAAGCCTTGGTGGTGGAGTGTTAGGATTTGTCCCAGATAAATCCAGAAAGAGAAACAGGGCAGACAGACAAAATGGGGAGCAAATGGCAACAGAGCAGGTCAGACAGCTCTCCAGGGGCTAAGAGCTGTGGGCATTGCCAGCCAGACCTCTGGTTCCACCAGAAACTGCAGATGATTTGCTGTGGGACTTTTGACAAGTCATTTAGGATCCCTGGACTCGATTCACTGGTGCCTTTCACTTTGGTAACGATTTTGCTCAGGCAGAATGAGCACGAAGCTCCAGTTGGCTTTGGTGGAGGTGGCACAGACACAGGGCTCTGGTTGACTTGTCCTGGACCTCTCCCAGCTGCTCCAAGCTGCTTGCACAGCAGATTGGGAGTCCTGGGCAAGTCCTGTGTTTTGCATCCCTGCTTTGAGGAGGAAACCCGTGAAGCGGAAAGGAAAACAGGCCGATGGAGAAGCCACTTTACATCTGTCTTTCCCACAAAGGTTTGCTCATGCAAATAAAAACCAAGAGGCATGCAGGTCTGCATTTGAGAATGAATGAATACCCTAATTCCTGATGCTTAACAGGGGTAGATTTACTGTGTACAGTGGGATAGTGGGAATGTAACCCCCTTGCCCAGCACAGGCTGGTGTGGTGGCAGGCGTTCCTGTCCTGCAGCAGGGCCATGGGTTGTGTGGTTTTCCCACTGAGAGTGGTGCTGGGCTGGCTCCTGCTTGCTTAAATACATGTTTGGAGCTCTGAGCTTTTTCTATTCTTAGCCATGAAACGAGACGAAGAATAGCTTTTCAGTGATATTTCTAAAATTAGCTTTGGCTGAGCTTGTTTAAGAGCCACAAAGCCCAAAGGAGGGATATGCTATTTTACGTGTACATTTGAACCTGGCACTGGAGCAGAACAAGCTCCATGATGGGCTGTTTTGAAAACTAAACTTGAGCATTTCTGCTGTTCAAAGCAGGGCAGATCTTTCCTCTCCATCTGCCTCGTGCCTGACCCAAAGCACAGCACCAGCCACCAGCCAGAACTGAGAACAGCTTTCAATGACAGAAGACACAGCCCACTACAGCTGCAGATCAACAGTCCTGATGCTGATCCACAGGATACCTCCACAGGGTCAAAAGCAGAGAGCAAAGCTGCTTACAGCAAAGCAGAACATGGAAGTGTTCAAGGCCAGGTTGGACAGGGCCAGTAGAAGGTGTCCCTGCCCATGGCAAGGGGGGTTGGAATGAGATGAGCTTTAAGGTCTCTTCCAACTCAAATCATTCTGTTATTCTATGGTAACCTGGTGTTACAAGAAAGTTGCACTCGGCTACTCAGATTTTCCATTGGTTCAGATGGCAAACAAGATGCTGCACCAGCAAGAGCTGCCATCCCCATGGCCCTTCTACATTTGCCTCACTCAAAAACTTTTCCACTCTCTAAAGCCATGAAGATTTGGTGGGGAAGGATGCTCAGGAAGGAGGCCAGAAAAATTTCTGCAAGGGGCTGTTTATTCCCCTCCCGCTTCCTGCATTAGGGAGTTTGTCACAGGAACCCATCTCCCAAAACGAGCCAACCAAGGGAAGAGGGAAATGCTGCACAAACATCTGGAGCAACAGAGAGAACTCCTTCAGTGCTGGTCCCCAGTTCAAAGACCACAGCTGCTAATGGTTGTGGTCCATGGCCAGGACTGCAGCTCCTTGTCTCCCCACAGCTGTGCTGTGAAACCACACCTGGCTTATAGAAATCCACATGCCAGAGAAATGGGATCAACTCCTCTTTTTTGCAAGGTCTAGATCGCGTTCCTGCAGATCAGCTGCAGCACGTGAACCTTGAAGAGGCTTTTCAAAGCCAGGACTTCGCAGTTTACAGCATTTTATGCCATAAAAATAACCTGATGTAAATGTTTTCTTCCAAGTGGAGGTTTAACAAGAGGGCAGTGGTTTGGTGTCCTCCCAGCAGGTCCCCTGGGAGGACGTGGGGTGCTGCTGGTTGGGACTTCATGGGGATGTGCTGTGGTTTGGTGAAGCATCTTTTTTTGTCTCTTCCCCAAAGCTGGGTTTCAGTACAGCCCAGAGCTGCAGTGACAGAGCTGCTCACTGCCCACCCCCCAAAATATCACAGCTGGTGCCCAGGATCACAGGGCAACCCCAAGCTGTCACCTCTTGTCCTTCAGCAGCCACAGGGGGTCATGAAGGGGCTCCAAGGACAGCTTTGTCTCACCTCTCCAGCACAGCCCTTTGAGGGCAGGTCGGAGAATGAGCTGTGCAGCCACGCCCTCGTACAGAAATGAAGAGACACCTTTCCAGCAACAGCAGAACGGTATTTCCAGAGGGGATGGAGCAGCAGGATGGGGTTTGCAAGCCTGGAGGGCCTTCTTCCCTCTCAAATTTGCTAAACTGCAGCTCTGCTGAGTGCCCACCCCCCCGTAAGTGCTGCCTGCTTGGTCCCCGTGTGCTGGGCCAGGCACTGACGTGCAGCACATCCCCCTCCAGGGACCAACCACCCTGAAACCAAAAACCCCCAACACCTTTGTGAGGGAAGGAGATCCCACTTCGAAGCCAAGAAGCGACATTAATAACCAGAGGTAACTGGAGGAGCAGAGAGAAAACACAGTTGCATTAATTATTAAGGAAGACTAATTGTTGGCAAGAAAAAATTAGGAGACACCGCTCACGCAGGGGTGTCTGATTGCCATGGGAGCTCCAGGCTAGCTAGAAAAATCTCTTTTTGCTGAACACACACAAACCCAGCAGGTCTTTCACATGAGGATCACCCTCACCATCAGAACTCCAGTGTTTTTTGACTCCAAGGTGCCTGATCAGGCTCAGCATCCTTCGCCTTTACTCCCATCCCACACCACACGTGCTCTGGCCGTGGGCAGCACTGGGGTTATATAAGCTGCTGGTTGATCAGAACTATAAATGAGGGGGTTTTGGTCAAAATGTGGGTTTTTCAATAGAAAATTGTGTGAGATTTTAATCAAACATCTTCTGGAAAGAACCTCGTGTTAGCAAGAATTTTGATTCATTTTTTAAAGACTGATGTATTTAGTCATGACACGCTAAAAATGAGTGGCTTTGCTTTGCTGGCTTGATGGAGGAATTTTCTTTTAAAGATTTTTCTTTTAAACTCTAAAGCCGGACTTAGCAAAATGTATCACAGAAGGTCAAAAGTCAAAATGTGAGTGAAGTGATCAAACCAAAAAATTTCCATGGCCAGCAAAACTCTTCAGTTTTTAAGTCTGTGAAAATATTAGAAAAAAAACTGAAGATTTTTTTTTTCTGCTTGGATTGCTTTAGGAAAAGAAACAAATGGGAAAAAAGAAGATAATGTTTTGTAACCTGTGAAAAGTCTCATCTTAAAAATCTCCAGGGGCGGAGAATCCACCCCTTCCCTGGGCAACCCATTCCAATGGCTGATCACCCTCTCTGGAAAGAAATTCTTTCTAATATCCAACCTAAACCTCCCCTGGCACAGCTGAAGACCCTGAGCCCTCTTGTCTTGCTGAGAGTTGCCTGGGAAAAGAGACCAACTCCCCCCTGGCTCCCCCCTCCTGTCAGGGAGTTGCAGAGAGTGAGGAGGTCTCCCCTGAGCCTCCTCTTCTCCAGGCTGAACAGCTCCAGCTCCCTCAGCCTCTCCTCATAGGACTTGTGCTCCAGACCCTCCCCCAGCCTCGTTGCTCTCCTCTGGATCTGCTCCAGGACCTCAATATCCTTCCTGAACTGAGGGGCCCAGAACTGGACACAGCACTGGCTTCACCAGTGCTGAGTCCAGGGGAAGAATCACTTCCTCGGACCTGTTGGCCACACTGTTTCTGATCCAGGCCAGGATGCTGGCCCTGGCAGCACCCCCAGCCTCGGGCAGGCTGGAGCACCCTGGGGGTGCAGGATCTGTGCCCCCAGCACGCAGGGTTGGGGTGCAGGGCCGGGGGAGAGCTGTGGTTCCCAGCCCGCCGGGGAGCGGAGCCTCAGGCAGGTGAGATGAGTCACATCACTTTCAAATTTCCCCACATGGCCCGCCCCAAAAACAGAGAAATGAAAGAGCCCAGGGCCAGCC